CCCAGTACAAGAACAACCTGCCCGCCTACAAGCCCGATGACCTGTACTTCAACGGAGTCACCGTCCAGGACGTCGCCGTCGACAAGCTCGTCACCTACTTCGACCTCTTCGACATCGATGTCAGCAACGCTGTCGACGTCGCCTCCATCGACGAGCTGGAGAAGCTTAACTACATCGCCAAGGCCATGCGTCTCAACCACCAGCCCTTCAACTACAAGATCAAGGTCTCCAGCAACCAGAAGACCAGCGCCGTCGTCCGCGTCTTCCTTGGACCCAGCACCGCCTTCACCCACTCCAACTTCTACGGCGAGCAGGCCTCTGACGTCTACTACGGACACGACACCGCTGACCTCGACAGGCTCAGGAACTACTTCGTCGAGCTCGACCGTTTCCCCGTTGAACGTGAGTACTCTTTGATTCATTCAATTCCCTTCCCCCCCCCCCTGTTTGTTCCCGTTTTTCTGCACGCTCAACCCCTCCCGCCACAATCGTAACGTCCGATTTCTGTTTCTCGCCCCACAGTGAAGAACGGCGACAACCTGATCAAGCGCAACTCCCGCGAGTTCACCACCACCGTCGGCGACAACGTCTCCTTCAAGTCCCTGCTCAAGAGCGCCGAGAGCGGCAACACCGTCCTCTCCAGCGTCGACCGCCAGTGCGGTTTCCCCGACCGTCTTGTCCTGCCCATGGGCCACAAGGCCGGAGTCCCCTACGCCCTCTTCGTCATGGTCACCCCCTACGGCGCCGACGAGCACGAGCACGCTGACTACTACCACTCCGAGAAGGTCAACTACCAGACCGGCGTCAAGGACATCTACTCCTGCAACGGACTCATGACCGTCCTCGACAACCGTCCCCTCGGCTTCCCCTTCGACCGCCAGATCGAGAACTTCGGCCGCTTCTACATGCCCAACATGTACTTCAAGGATGTCGTCATCTTCCACAAGGACTCCGCCACCGACAACAACAACGTCCTCATCAAGAAGAACGTCAACGATTTCGATAACGTCCTCTCCCAGCAGACCGCCCACAAGTACACCCCTAGCCACAGGCTCTTGGACGAGGACATCGTCCGCGAGGACGACGACGTCCGCGCATACCTGTAAGCTGTCGCGCTGGACTCAGGACGAACGCGTCATGCTCTGTGAGCCCTCTACACCGCAAATAAAATCTTGCCTTCTGCTCACCAAAACGCTGCAAATGTCGTTATTCCTCATTTTCCCCACTATAGAATACCCCGTTGACAAATGCTCGCATTCGCAGAGACAGACAAATACTTTAATAGCACAGAGGACTGTTTGTAAGACGACCTGCTTTCTCAATACAGACATTTAAGACGAAAGTGCATTGATATGAAAAATGCGGGCCCTTCTCCCGCATGGAAATAGGTATATCTAAATGACACTTTTGGGTATATAATTATAAAAAGTATGCATTAGGTATACTTGAAGTATAGCAGATTGGAACGGCTAAACTTTTTTGGCACTTTCGGTATAATTTTTTGTAATACATTTTGTATACATTTTTTATCAGATGATACCTTAAAAACCTTTTGACTAAACATAAAGAATAAATAATTAACTTTAAGGTGTCAGCTAGCTTTTACTCTA